GCAGTTTGAAAAGGACAGTGAAGCAGCAGCTGAGAAATCATTTCATTTCAGGGTTAGAAGCAACCCAGAAATGCTGCCAGGGGGGAAGAGGCCGTTTTCACTTCACTCAAGTGAACCCCCCATTATGAACCCTCCATCTTTCATTCACACCCAAGAGGCATCACTGGCCAAACAAGAAAATACAATTCCTATTTCTGGTTTTAACAACTCTCCTGACATTCTGGTTCCCACCCTCAACCCTTCCCATACACCTGAGTTTAGGAATAACCTCGAATGTGGGTTCAAACAGGGAACTGAAGCTTCCTCCTGCCCATCTTAACCCCCCAACACTGGCTCCCTGCGCCTTCACTCACAGGTTCCCTTGGACAGAATCCACCTCCCACCAGCTCAGCACTTCCCACCTCTGTCCTGATGGGTTCTGCTGTTCCCACTTCCACTGAGAGTGAACTAATTCCACGAGCCTGGTGAGAAGGAGCTGTAGAAACATCCTGTTAAACCTCCAAGCATCTCACCTTCCTGGTGCAGGACATTGGCTCCAGCAGCCCCAGCCAGAGCCAGGCACAGCCTGGATTGCTGCTCCTGCAGCAGAACCTGGTAACTCATTGGGTTTAGCACCATTTCGAACAATGGGAAACAGCTGCTCTTATTTGAGAGCACACAGCTTCAAGCACCCCTTCAATAAGTTACAGCTCACCCTAAGCTCCTCACGTTAAGCTATTCCTTATATTCCAGCCAGGATTTGTTCCAGCAGAGCCCACGTTTCCCTGGAACGAGGCTGGATTCCAACTCTCCGCAGGGATTCCACGCTGGAGTTTCCCAGGAGAGCGAGTTATGTCCTGTGAACACGGTTACAATTATCAACCCCAGTGCAATTTAAATGGTGAATGTGGGGTTCCCCCCTCGCTGCCCCCAAAACTGGAGCAGGATCTCGAGCAGGCTCACAAGCAGGAAGGTTACAACACTCAACTCTTAACAGGTCCCTGGCTCTCGGCCACCACCTTTCCTGTGCTCAGCAATAGGGCACCAAAGTGACTGGTCAGATGAGGCTTCTCCAACCCAGCATATGGAGCACTCATCTCCAGTCCAGCTGAGGAGCACAATGAATCCTGCTGGCTCCAATCGCCCCTCAGGGGAAGTGCCTGCACTCACAGTCCTGGCTATTTAGAAGGAGACAATACCCCAAGTGCAATGATCTGTATCTGCTCCAAGGGCAGCAGGTAAATAAGCCCCAGGAGGTCACTGCTGTGTTCACAGCCCCGCGGGACACTGGGTCACACCTCCCATGAGGAAACACTCCCCAGGTGCCTCCTGCCACTCTTTAACCAAAGAAACTTCCTCCTGGCCAAGCTGCTGGAAGTGAAAGCCCAGCACCAAACAAAGCAGATGCCTCATGGCCTGTGAGGAAAGGCAAAGGCCCCCAACCCCCCCCCAAACAAGTGTGATTTTGCAACCTCTAAGACAACACTGGTTCCTTCTACAACTGGGGAAGTGAGAGGTAGAGATGGGATGCAGCTACTGCATCAACAAGGGTGCTCGGCTTCCTAGGAGGGTGACAGTCCTCATCTAAAAGCACAAAGGTGGAACCCCCCCCCCCCCCATATTCTGTTCCTCATTCCCTGCTTTTGAAAGGAACTCCTCCAGAAGACAAGGCCCAACACAGAGAGGTTGAAACAAGGGCTCAGCCCCAGCACAATGCTTGTGGGTTAGAGAGAACCGGCAATGACAGGCCTGGGCACAGCCACCTCAACTCTCAGCTGTGGTACCTGGAGACCGCAGGGACTGCTCTCATCCTGGTTACTGAGCTCCTGCAGGGACACAAGGAAAACTCTCTCCCATTGTTGCAAAGGGAAGGAAGGCGACTGGGAGCCTCTGACCCCCCCCCCACACAGGTCCCTCAGTGCTCAGCAGCCCTGGGGATGGGGGAGCACCCTAAGCCTTGGGGTGCTTGGAGCCCCCACTGCTGCTCTCCAGTCACCCCACACCCTGGCAGCCCCGCGGCCCTCAGCCCCCACCCCTGCGGGTGGGGAAGGCCCCACAGCCCGGAGGAGCCCTCGCCCCGGTGCCCCCCAGCGACCCCTTCACGCTCCCAGCCCAAGGAAGAGCCGCGCCCCCAGCTCAGGGCGTCCCTCCCCTCCTCATCCCCGCACGCCTGGGGGGGACCCCTCCACCCTGGGGTGCCTGCGGGTGGGGTACACCCGGCCTCGGGCCATAGCGACCCCCGGGCAATTCGCGGGCCTGGGGTGCCCCCATCCCCGCAGCGACCGCGGCACCACGCATCCCGCAGCGCGCAGCCCCAGCTCCCCCCTGCGCCGAGGCACGGGGCACCGGAAGGTGCGGGCCCTGCGCGGGCCGGAGGCTGCCGCGGCCTCGCCCTGGCCGGGTTGGGTGGGGCAGCGGGGCGCGGCCGCGGAGGCGGTGCCGGGGCTCCAGGGCCCGCGGTCCCGGCACGGGAATGGGCCCGCGGCGCCGCCATTTCGGGGGGGGGGTGCAGCACCTACCATCTTCACCGCCGCTACCGTGAGAGCCGCACCTCGGCCCGCCCACCGCCCGCCGCTGCCCACCCCGCGCGCCCCGATTGGCCCGCGCCCCGCGGAGCTCGCGTCCTATTGGTTACCGAGCCTGTCACTCATCTCGCAGGGTTCAGCCGAGGCAGGAAATGCCCGCTCGGAGAGCGGGAGGGGGAAGGGTTGTGGCGCAGGGCGGGAGGACCCGGATGTGGCGGACGGCGCGGGGCACGCTGGGAAATGTAGTTCTTGCCCTGTTCCCCGTGACCTGCGTTAGCGCAGCCACCGCTCAGTAGGCGGTTCATTAGCAGCGGCCACAAGGCAATTCCACCCCCTCCACCCCATTTCCAGCCCAGAACCTGAGCTCCGATCATGAAATAACTCAGGGGAGCCGAACAGGCACAGGCACTAGAGTGAAGTTTTGCATTCAATTAGTTCTGGGCTTTAATGACAGCTCATGTTTTCAGCAGTTTCTCTTTGAATCACACATACAAAGGGACACTAAGATCACAATTCATAACACAGGCATTAAACCAACACCCTCTGAGCCTCCCCTCGAGCCAGTATGACTCCTCACACTCTCCTGACACACGACAGATGCATGTGCGCAGCCTCTCTCAGCACAGGTGCTCCACTCAGGTCACTCCAAAGCTTCAGGCTTGCCCCACAAGCAGAGCCCTCAGTGGCTCAGAGATTTCCTGCCCTTCAGCATGCGCCGCAGGATGACCTCGATGCCCGCCGGCGTGCTGATGCGCTTGATCCAGCCGTGGGTCCGTTTGCGCTTCCGGTTGTTGGGCTGATATTCGTTGCCCCGCGCTTTGGTACGGATCTGCTGGTGGGTCCAGGGGGCCACGGGGCCGGGGCTGATTCCTACCGGCTTGAAGGGAAGGTGGCTTTTGAGGGGCAGCTCCAGGGATCCGGAGAGCACAGCGGCCGTGCGGAGCTGGGCAGAGCCGGCTGCAGCGTGCTGCAAGAGAAGAAACCTTTGCGAACAGACAAAAGCACCATCAGAGGAGTGAGATGCGGGCCCCGCGCTGACGATAACGGGACAGTAACAGGACCTGTGGAGCCATGAGGGACGGGGCTGACCCTGCCGCGGGGGCTCGCGTCCCTCCCCAGCCCAGGGCGTGCTCACGGCGGGGAACAGCACACCCGGAGGACCGTAACGCCACTCCCCGCCCGCCCTCTCCCCTCCCGGGTTACCTGCGGCCCACAGCGCACCCCAACGCTGCCATGGCCCTCGGCCCGCCACTGCCAACACCGCCCTGCCAACAACCCCGCCTGCTATTGGCTCCCTCCACCCAGCCTCTGTCGCAGCGTGCCGCAACGGCTGATGGGGCTTGTAGTCATGGTTCGGGGCCGCGCCGTTACCATGGCAGCGGCCGCCGGTATCGGCCTTGCGGAGCGCCGCGGCCTTGTCCCGGGCGCAAACCGGAGCGAAGCCGCTTCCCAACGTTCGTTTGTTCCTCGGCAGGGCGGTTCTGCCCCCGCCAGCACCGGCGTTTGTGCCCCTGTGGGACGGGAGGCTCAGGGCGCCGTGCACCCCTTCCATTGTGGCTACCTCAGCCCTGGTTACCCCACGCAGCGGGGACAAGCAGCGTGGGGCTGTGGTGGGAGCCTGAGGAGGGTAAAGGGGCAGCGGGCTCTCCCATCCCGTGTGCTCTAATGGGTGTGTATGCTCTGGGCTGTTGTGTCCCTGCCATAAATCAGCCTGTTGGGGTGAGGGGGTGTGATGGAAGCAACCCAGAAACCACAGCTGTAGATACAAACCCAATGGGCAGCCATGAGGTGATGGCTGTGCTCCTGGTCTGGCTGCTGTGATCTGCACCTTCCTGCTGAGCACACCCGTGCTGAGCTCGGATACACTCGCGGCACCAACACCCTCGTGGCACCGACATCCTCGTGGCACCGACATCCTTGTGGCACTGACACCCTCATGGCACTGACACCCTCGTGGCACCGACATCCTTGTGGCACTGACACCCTCGTGGCACTGACACCATCGTGGCACCGACATCCTCGTGGCACTGACACCATCGTGGCACCGACACCATCGTGGCACCGATACCCTCGTGGCACTGACACCATCGTGGCACTGACACCATCGTGGCACCGACACCCTCGTGGCACTGACACCATTGTGGCACTGATACACTTGTGGCACTGACACCATCGTGGCACCGACACCCTCGTGGCACCGACACCCTCGTGGCACCGACACCCTCGTGGCACTGACACCATTGTGGCACTGATACACTTGTGGCACTGACACCCTCGTGGCACTGACACCATCGTGGCACTGACACCCTCGTGGCACTGACATGGCACCGACATCCTCGTGGCACTGACACCCTCGTGGCACCGACACCATCGTGGCACCGACACCCTCGTGGCACCGGCACCCTCGTGGCACTGACACCATTGTGGCACTGACACCATTGTGGCACTGACACCCTCGTGGCACTGACATGGCACCGACATCCTCGTGGCACTGACACCATAGTGGCACTGATACCCTTGTGGCACTGACAGCATCGTGTCACCTACACCCTCTTGGCCTGTAGCAGCCACAAATACCAGCAGGGTGAGAAAACAGTGCCAGGTAACTGAGTAGCCTCCCCTCACAGGAAAGGATGAGCCCTCCTGCCCCCCCTGCTGCTGGCAGCACCCCCGCGGGCGGTGCAGGGCCTTGCTTTGACTGGCACGTCTCCCTGTCTATCACACCAAGAGCCCTCCTCTTTAGGAGGGATTTAAGGGGCTTTCTATGGCTATAGACCACAAGGACAAACAGCCCCCCCAAAGCCCAGAGCTCTGCTATGAAGCCTCTCCTGGGGAGAAGATGGAAGGAGAAATGTTGGTCTCAAGCAGATGAGCTGAGCTGAAGGCATCGCTCCAGCCTTTCCACCCAGACAGGCACAGCAACCTGGAGCTGCAGGAGTGGAGAAGCTGAGCAGCCTTCCCGAGCTGCATTCCGCATCCTGCACCAGCTCCCTCTGCCTCGGCCACCTCTGCCTCTCCTGCACGATTCAAGCCTTTTCCTTTGCAAGCTCGACTCCTGCCCATCCTTGTCGATAAATGAGGTGAGCATCCTCTCATTCCTCTCTTCCTTTGTGCCGAGGGCTCAGAGCACAAGCAGTGATGTAGGACATGCCCCGAGGGAGGAAGGTGCAGAGCAATGGAGAGGAGGGGTCAAAATAGCCAAAAGATGGGTTTCTTTTCCCAAAGGTGATAACGGGGAAGGATTTGAGAGGCATCAGCTGGGCTTGCAGGGCAGGAGGAAAGCAGCCTTGCAGCGGCACTGCACTGCTTGTGCTTCAATCTCCCCGTTCTAACAGCGGGGTTAGAAAACGCTGCCTGGCGATCCAAGTTAAAGGCCAGCTCCCGTTGTGATGCAACGGCAGTGAGTGGTTGCCGGCTCTGCCCTGCTGTTGCTATGTGCGCCGCAAATCTGCTCGGCTTCCCGCTTGCAGCCCGAGGGGGCACCTGCACGCAGCGCAGGGGGCAGCGATTCCTCCTCCTGCCTCCTTCCCATGGCTCCCTCCAGCCCGCTGCTGGAGGATGCTCGCTCCCAAAGGAACCAGCCTCGCTGCTGCTCTGCGGGGGGAGCAGGAGCTTCGGGAGGCACAGGGGGGTTAAGAGGTGCTCCAGAGGTCACCACGGGTTACCCCGATGTGCATTGCATGAGCTTTTGTTTCTCAAGGTCTTCTTCCTTCCTAAAGAGCCCGTGGCCGGTGGGCAGCGCGGCTCCGGGCTGTGTCCTGCCTCCATCCCCGCTCCTTCTGCACTCACTGTGGTTTGTCCTCGTCCTCTGGGGCCCTCAGCGGAGCCCTGCTGCCTGCAGACCGGGACCAGGCTCCCTTCCCTAGGGAAGGAGCCTCATCCCTGCCCGTGCTGAGGATCTCAGGACTGCCTCCGTGCTTTTCTATTTGTATGCCTGATAAACCCTTCCTGCCTGCTTACTCCTCATAAAGCTGCTGTAATTCCACCAGGACATGGAGCAGAATAAATCCAGGTGCTTGCCACCCACCACCTGAGGTGGCTTTTTCTCCTTCCTTCAGAGGGAAGTTGCCTTTGCAGGGCCCAGATGAAGCAGCACAACCATTTTCTTGCTTGGAGCTGAGATCAGGGCTTCACCAGACGTTCTCTTGCTCAGTGCCGCAGTTTCTCCACTTCATTCCCAGGGAATGACTGGGGGAAGCTCAAAGAGCATCACAATATCTGCCCATTCCTCGGGAGTGACATTTGGCACCATTAACACTTATGAGCCCCGATGGGAAGGGATTAGAGGTGAAGGAATCCTTATGGCAGGTTGGGTTCTGGCTGTAGCACAGATCCTGCTCCTCTCTGGCACCTCTCCTCCGAGGTCTTGAAAGGAACTAGCAGCTATGGAGTCCCTGCTGCTCCCAAGGCTTTGTGCAGGGAAGGGGACGGAGGTGCTGAGCAGAGCTTGGACTCACTGGTCTCCATAGGGAAGTTCATGGCCATCAGCTTCAGCTCTGACTCCCTCTTGTGCTGTCCCTGCAGTAAATGATGCTTTTGGCTTACTTAAAGGGATGAAATGTTTTATCAGGCATGGTATGGGACAGGAGGAGGGGATCTTTGTCATTCCCAGCACCCCGGACAGGTGGGATATCAGCTGTCTCCATCACTGGGTGCAGGGACCCAGCAGGGACAGCACCACCATGAGAGGCAGGATTGGGATGCTGTTTGCAGCAGGGATGGTGAGGGAAGAGTCTGCATAGCTGTTAAGTGTGTCACATCCCTCAGGCAGATGTGGTGTGAGCACTGCCCTGAGATACCACTCCGTGTGCTCCATGTCACCAACACAGGCTGTACATCAGCCCCACAGGCTCTATGTCACCTACACAGGCTGTACATCAGTCCCACAGGCTCTGTCACCTACACAGGCTGCATATCAGCCCTACATGCTCTATGTCACCTACACAGGCTGTACATCAGTCCCACAGGCTCTGTCACCTACACAGGCTGCATATCAGCCCTACAGGCTCTATGTCACCTACACAGGCTGTACATCAGCCTCACAAGCTCTATGTCACCTACACAGGCTGTACATCAGCCCCACAGCTCTATGTCACCTACACAGGCTGTACATCAGCCCCACAGGCTCTATGTCACCTACACAGGCTGTACATCAGCCCCACAGGCTCTGTCACCTACACAGGCTGTACATCAGCCCCACAGGCTCTATGTCACCTACACAGGCTGTACATCAGCCCTACAGGCTCTATGTCACCCACACAGGCTGTACATCAGCCCTACAGGCTCTATGTCACCTACACAGGCTGTACATCAGTCCCACAGGCTCTGTCACCTACACAGGCTGCATATCAGCCCTACAGGCTCTATGTCACCTACACAGGCTGTACATCAGCCCCACAAGCTCTATGTCACCTATACAGGCTGTACATCAGCCCCACAGGCTCTATGTCACCTATACAGGCTGTACATCAGCCCCACAGGCTCTATGTCACCTACACAGGCTGCATATCAGCCCTACAGGCTCTATGTCACCTACACAGGCTGTACATCAGTCCCACAGCCTCTATGTCAGCCCCGTATCACTGCCTGTCCCATTATCTTGTTAGGTTTTCCACATCCCATCTCATCCCATTTTCCTCCAGCTGTGCTGTGGTGCCATCGAGTTGTGTAAAAGCCAAGGAGCTGAAGTAGGTCAGGGAGCTGTTTTTCCCCCGCAGGGATATCCTCTGCAATGGCAGGAAGGGGGAAGCTGAATTCCACATGGATGCTCCAGGACTAGAGCTGAACCTGAGCAATGAATGATCCTCCTGGGATTAATCCCAGCATCCTCTCTCTGAGGGAGCTGTTTCCTGGGGGAAGACATAATTGGGGGGGGGGTGTCACTATGTGGGGTGATGCCATCCACCTCCCCAAGCCGTGTCCTCAGCCTCAAGGGACATGGAGACTGGTGGCGGGTTGATGCATTGTTGTGCCTGGCCTTATGCAACCGGAATCTCACTCTCTGCCAGGAGTGTCAATGGAAGGCTGCTGGAATGGAGGAGGATGTGGAGGGAAAGCAGCTCATCGCCATGGTTACCAGCATCTTTGCAAAGTTCTTCACACCCATCTGCTTTCATTTCCAGCCCTTTTCATCGCATGGAAAGAACATCCCTGGACGTTTCTGGCTGCAGCAGCCGGTGTGGTGGGGTAGAGGATGCATGTGGGAGGTGGGAGACGTGTGTGCTTCGCCTCCCAGCCCCAGAGATGAAGCCTGACATCAACTCAAGTTGCTTCCCCCCCCATTCCTCCATTCCCCACCTTGCCGATGAATGGCTCAGCCAGGATGTGTTTGCTGATGGGATTCAGGTGGTGTTTTCCCAGTTGGATACCCAGCAGTGACTGACATATCCTGGACCATGGGTGGATCAGAGTAGAGGTGGCTCAGCTCTGCCGAATGGCCCCCCTCTTGCAACAGGATCCAGGCTTGGACCCAGAGCTGCTGATGCTAGAAGGTGGCTCCATGGCCAAAGCCTGGATCCATGCTGGATCTGCTGCAGCATCCTGGCCCTCAGAGCCTTGCAGCAAATCAATGCTGGGAACGAACAGGCTGGACTAATTGAGTTAATCCTGGAATGTTAATCAATAGTGAAGCAGTTTGGGCACAAGCCCTGGTTAGAATCCAGGCAGATTGTCAGCATCCTGTTAAATGGAGGCGCAAGCAAAGCCAGGCTCTATGGAAATCAGGGGCAGGATCACATCCAGGCTGAGCCCAGGGGGACTGTGCCCAGTGCAGGGTGGGCAGAGCTGGCGGAGAGCTCGCAGTCATGCCCATGTGAGGCTCAGGCTCTGCCTGCTTTCCCCTCTCCCCCTGGGTTTTGTGCTTACCCCATCTCTCTGTTCAGCATCTCCGGCTCAGAGCTGCTCAGGGATCAAGAGCAGCCCAAGCCTGGCACTAAGCTGGTGCTCCAAAGCACAGCAAGAGCAGTGCTGTGGCCATCCCAGTGCAGCTTCCAGCCAGGGCTCCAGCCAGTCTGGTGCCCAGCTCCTTGTCACCCAGCAGAGCACAGCAGCCCCTTGCCAGCAGGAGATGGAGTTGGCTTCTCCTTCCCAGGGCTCTGAAACCTGCTCTTGCTCTCCAGCTTGGATGGGTGCATCCCTGGAGCAGCACAAGGCTGTGTTTAGCACAGTGCCTGGCCAGGCCCTGTCCTGGGGGAGCTCCCCAGCCAGCAGAAAGGAGACAGAGCGCCAGGGACCAGCTCTGCTGCATCTCCAGCACCCAGAGCCTTGCATGGACTTTGCAAAGTGCCCATCATCCTGCCAAGTGCTCAAAGACCTAACGGGGCTGCTGCTGGCAGCATCACTGCCATTTAGACATGCAGTTCCCCCAGGAACGCTTTGCCTTCTCCTTCCCCCCTGCAGGAGCAGTAGGGAGAGCCCCTGTGCCCAGTGCCTGCTGTGCTTCTGTACCCACCAGCATCAATAATTCACCCTGTTTAGCCTCAGCAATACTAAACCCCCATCACACTGCCTGCAAGGGGAGCACGGACCCCCCAGTCCTCTCCAGAGGCACCCCAGTGCCACCAGCTTTTCCTGCCCTGTATCTGCCTTTGCTCTGGGCTGTGCGTGGTGGTCCCAGCATCCAGAGCCCTTCTTCTAGATCCACCTGAGTGCATCTGGAAGAGCACGTGTCAGGGAAGGAGCCTTGGGGACAGCAATGACAGTGCCATGTCCCCCCATCACGTGTGGTGCTGGGGAGGGTGCCGGGCACTCCCAGTTCTCTCACTGTGCTCTTTCCAGACGTGGTTTGTGGAATGAGTTTAATGAAAGCCTTCATCTCCCACCCCTGTAATTCCATCTCCCGCTGTTTGTGGTGGTGGTTACACTGGAGATACAGATAGATAGATATATTTAATTGGGATAAAGAATGCAGCTTCATCGCTGGATCCTTCCTGAGCTCCATAGTAGGTGCCAGAAACAGCATCTTCATTCCAAACAGGCTTTTCTTTGAGTGTTCCTTCCCTCACCTGGAGCAGATCCCTTCTTGGAGGCCCACAGGGCACTGCATGGGTTGGAGTTTGTCTCCGCAGGGCCAGCGTGTGTCCCACCAGCCCAGTGACAGGGACATGGTCCAGGCAGAGCTGGACATGGAGGCAGTGCTGGCTCCATCTGTGATCTGAAACTGAAGCATGTTTGGAGGTGGCTGAGGGCTGTGGATTTGAGGAGCATCACATTCACCCCCCAGCGCATCCCTGAAGGCACATCCTGCCTTCACTTATGGCTTTGCCCATGGCTGGCACACAGCATGCAGGAGCAGGGCTGTCCCCAGTGCCCTGTGCCACAGCCAGGACCTCCAGCAGTTCCCCTTCTGGCACAGGATGCCCAAAGAAGTGGTAAATGCCCCACCCCTGGCAGTGCTCAAGGCCAAGTTGGACACAGGGGCTTGGAGCAAGCTGCTCCAGTGGAAGGGGTCCCTGCCCATGGCAGAGGGGTGGAACTGGATGAGCTTAAGGTCCTTTCCAAACCAAATGATTCTATTAACCTGCCTCCTTCCCCCCTCTTGCCTTCACTGCAGGGAGCATAATGCTGAACAGCATTACCGATGGGCTCCTGTGCTGCCTGATGGGCAAGACAACCAACGCCGTGGGGCCGCTGGACAGCGTTGAGTCCAGCAATGGCTACAGCTTCATGGAGGTGAAACCGGGGAGGATCCTGCGGGTGAGGCACAGCGCACCCCCCCGCTCGGGCCCGGAGGGCGCTGAGGAGCCGCAGCACCCGCGGGGTACAGTGCACTGCAAGCGCAGGATCACCGTGTACCGCAACGGGCAGCTGGTGATCGAGAACCTGGGCGATGCCGTGCGCTCCGAGATCCTGCACTGCCACAGCGGCTCCGGGGAGCCCAGCAGCACCGTGGAGCTGGAGCTGTCGGATGCGACCGGGCCAGGTCCCACGCAGGGTCCTGCCAGCACCCCGGGATGTGCCACGAGGGAAGCAGCCGCCGCCACCGGGAAGCGGAGGAAGCGGAAGCCCAAGAAAGTCATCACCATCGACTGCAAGAAGCAGATCACGAGCTGCAAAGGGACCCACAGCGACGTGGTTCTGTTCTTCATCCACGGCGTGGGGGGCTCGCTGGACATCTGGAAGGAGCAGCTGGACTTCTTTGCCAAGCTGGGCTATGAAGTGGTGGCTCCGGACCTGGCCGGCCACGGCTGCAGCTCCGCACCCCAGATTGCCGCGGCGTACACCTTCTATGCGCTGGCCGAGGACATGAGGGCCGTGTTCAAGCGCTATGCCAAGAAGAGGAACATCTTGATAGGACACTCATATGGGTAAGGGACCAGGGGGGTCCCAGGAGGGTGCATTTGTCCCCCCACCTTGTCCTCTCCTTGGTAGCAAGCACCCACCACTGCACTTGAAGGAGAAGCAGAGGAGTTAGTGGAGTTAGCCCTCAGTTCTGATCTCCTGCATCTTGGTGTGTGTCTCTGGGTGCAGCTAATCCCAGCCTATAAATAGAGTAAGCCCAAGCAAGTCAATTAGATGGAGACTAAGCTGTGCAGAAAGCAGAGCTTGGAGGAAAGGGAACTGAAGCCAGGCTCCGGCAGGATTAGATCGAAAGGACAAGGCTGGTCCAGGCTGGTGAGCACCCAAATGGGTCCCAGCACCCTGCTGGGGTTGTGCTCAGCCCCTCTGCCCAGGCTCTGCAGGGCACCAGCTGTGGGGTTTGACTGGGGTTACCCTGCCCAAAGAGGTGTGCCCCCACAGGTCAAACAGGAGGAGCCCTGGCCATGGATCCTTGGGATCAGCCTTGGGATGTGGCATCCTCGATGCCATGGAGTCGGAGCATGGTCCCCATGTCTGTCTCTCCTCACAGGGTGTCCTTCTGCACCTTCCTTGCCCACGAGTACCCAGACCTGGTCCATAAGGTGATCATGATCAACGGAGGAGGCCCAACAGCACTGGAGCCCAGTCTCTGCTCCATCTTCAACATGCCCACCTGCGTGCTGCACTGCCTGTCCCCATGCCTGGCCTGGAGCTTCCTCAAGTGAGTGTGCATCCCGTGCCCTGCCAGCAGTGTCCCCCATGCTTCCATGCCCCCGGTGCTGCTGGATTAACCCTCTGCCCGTGCTGGCTCCATCCCACAGGGCTGGCTTTGCTCGCCAGGGTGCGAAAGAGAAGCAGCTGCTGAAGGAAGGCAATGCCTTCAACGTGTCCTCCTTCGTGCTGCGCGCCATGATGAGCGGGCAGTACTGGCCCGAGGGGGACGAGGTTTACCACGCAGAGCTGGCTGTGCCTGTGCTCCTGGTCCATGGCATGCATGACAAGTTTGTCCCCGTGGAGGAGGACCAGCGAATGGCTGAGGTATGGGACAGAGCTGGGCTGGGTGAGGGCTCTGCAATGCAGACGGCTCATCCCAGCACTGCTGTGTCCCTGCAGATCCTGCTCATTGCCTTCCTGAAGGTGATCGACGAGGGCAGCCACATGGTGATGATGGAGTGTCCCGAGACAGTAAACACGCTGCTCCACGAGTTCGTCCTGTGGGAGCCCGAGACATCAGCAGGGGACGGGCAAGGGGAGAAGAAATAAAGCAGCAGGACGTGGTGACCGGGCTGCTCCCATGGGAGAGATGTTTCGGAGCGAGCGGAGGCCCTCGCCGGGAGCTCAGCCCCTTTTCTTTCCCGGCCATGGCGGAGGCTGGTGGTGGAGCACGGAGGCTCCCCTGGGCACAGGGCCGGCAGCAGGATCACGGCAAGACCTGGTCCCCATCCCTCTGGGGACAGCACGGCAGCCGCTGGAGCGACTTCATCCTCTTACTTTGTAGTATTCTTTTCCCCCGGGGACAGAGAGGAGGCAGCTGTGGGGAGGCTGCTCCCACTGCAGCGAAACGGGAAGAACTGGGAACGTTCCTCCAGGGAAAGGGCATCAGCTCCGGCTGCAGGAGCTGAGCTGGGATTGCTTTGAGGGGAAGCCAGAAGCTCCTTGGCCTTCAGGGGCTTATTGCTATAGTGGCCAGAGGACGAGGAGGTGACCTGCTCCTGTGGGCACAGAAGGACCGGCAGCTCCCACCACGGTGGGACTGGCATGGCTGTGGCGGGGAGGACAACACCAACCCGGAGCTCTCCTGCTGTCCCCATCCCTGCAGTCGTGCCCCAGCCACCATCGCTTTATGTGCCACAGCATCGGCTTCTGCTCCCTCCCGCTGCCCCATCCTCGAGGTGTCAGAGCCATCAGCACACAGCAGCTCCCACAGCTCCACTCGCCCTTCCCAGCTTCCAGCTCCTCCATGACTCCAGGACTCACCACCGGCTCCTGGACCCCATTCCCACCAGGATAACGCCCATCCCTCACTGCACTGGGGGAGCAGCAATACACCAACCCGTTGCTGCTCTCTCTGGCCTTGCTGATGACTCCTGTATGGACCCATGGGGTCTTGGAGCAACACAGCAGCGCTGGAGCAAACCACAGCCTCCTGATGGCAACGGACACCAGGTTGTTACCTGCGGATCCTGTTCTGTACATAACCCACTGACCCAGCAGCTACTCCCCTCTGCGCTTCGCATCCCACTGCCAGGAGCTGGGCAGGACCCAGAAGGTACATGAGAAGTGTTGAGGGGGACCCGGGTGCTGCCATAGGGATACACTGGGATGTGGGAGCCAGAGCAAGCCAGTGGGATACCGCAGCCTCCCCAGAGAGCTGCTCCCTGCTTTGCTTCCCTCTTATTTCCCCCCATCTAAACCAAAGAAACAACCAAGCCCATGAAAACCTCATCCTTGCCCCATATCCCAACCCAACCCCTCCTCACCCCAATGGGGCTGACACCACACCAAGGCAACCAGCTTGGCCCCAGGGGCTCCTGGCAGGACCCACCTGCACCACAGCTTCGCCATGGCTGAGCCCAGCTTTGTCCACAGACTGAGTAATGAAGAGAGGGAGGGTCCTGTGGGGCCAGCCTGGTGGTGACCCTGGGTGAGGGGTGTCCTCACCACAACCTGTCTCATAATGAGAATGTTAACGCCCTGTTAACCCTCCCCTGCAGCACCCTTCCCATGCCGTCCTGCCCAGGGGACCCCACACAGCACCCCAGGGTTTGCAATGAGGGCACCCACAAACCCCACTGTACCCCAAAACACGGCTTTGCGCCAACTGTGACACCCCCCCAGGCAGCTCCTGGTGTCCAGCTTCAGGCCACGGCTCCTCAGGCTCCATTGGCCACGGAGCCTGTGTCCTTGTACCCACATTGCTCACGCTGAGGCCAAGGCCAACCGCGCACCCCGAGCCCGCTGCCGCGCTAGTGCCATTCCCCCCAGTAAAGCTGTGTTCTATCCGGTGTCTGAGTCCATGGGGAAGGGATGTGCCGGGCACAGGGGAGAGGCCTGGGAAGGGAAGGCAGGAACCAGGGAGCTTGGATTTCTTAGCCAAAATAAAAGACCTTCAGTGATTTATTTATCCCCTTGGAGAGGAAGAGAGAAACTCTCACCAGTGTTGACGACATCAAACCCATACCGAGCACAGCCACCTCCTGGGACAGGGCAAGAGGGGAGGTGCAGGCAGTGGATACCCCCCCCCCCCCCCCCCGCACAGCACCCCAGGGTGCTCAGCGCCCACCCTGGATGTCCACCGGCCGGAGCTGCCGCTCGCCCTCGGCGAGGAAGATGCTCATGGCCCTGTGCAGCATCTGAACGCCAAGGCGCCGGCGCCGTGCCGCTGGCCAGTGTGCCACCGTGCCATAGCACAGCCCCTTCCTCTGGTTGGTGATGCTCTGCAGCCCTGTGGGGACAGAGGCACCATGCACTGACCCCCTGCTCCCACAGCACCCACAGGGATGGAGGCAACCCCCTGCTTCCCATAGCAGCCACAGGGATGGAGGCAACCCCTGCTCCCACAGGGATGGAGGCAACCCCCTGCTCCCATAGCACCCACAGGGATGGAGGCAACCCCCTGCTCCCATAGCACCCACAGGGATGGAGGCAACCCCCTGCTCCCACAGCACCCACAGGGATGGAGGCAACCCCCTGCTCCCACAGCACCCACAGGGATGGAGGCAACCCCCTGCTCCCATAGCACCCACAGGGATGGAGGCAACCCCCTGCTCCCCCAGCACCCACAGGGATGGAGGCAACCCCCTGCTCCCATAGCACCCACAGGGATGGAGGCAACCCCCTGCTCCCATAGCACCCACAGGGATGGAGGCAACCCCCTGCTCCCACAGCACCCACAGGGATGGAGGCAACCCCCTGCTCCCACCAGCACCCACAGGGATGGAGGCAACCCCCTGCTCCCATAGCACCCACAGGGATGGAGGCAACCCCCTGCTCCCACAGCACCCACAGGGATGGAGGCAACCCCCTGCTCCCATAGCACCCACAGGGATGGAGGCAACCCCCTGCTCCCATAGCACCCACAGGGATGGAGGCAACCCCCTGCTCCCACAGCACCCACAGGGATGGAGGCAACCCCCTGCTCCCATAGCACCCACAGGGATGGAGGCAACCCCCTGCTCCCACAGCACCCACAGGGATGGAGGCAACCCCCTGCTCCCATAGCACCCACAGGGATGGAGGCAACCCCCTGCTTCCCAAGCACCCACAGGGATGGAGGCAACCCCCTGCTCCCATAGCACCCACAGGGATGGAGGCAACCCCCTGCTCCCATAGCACCCACAGGGATGGAGGCAACCCCCTGCTTCCCATAGCACCCACAGGGATGGAGGCAACCCCCTGCTCCCATAGCACCCACAGGGATGGAGGCAACCCCCTGCTCCCATAGCACCCACAGGGATGGAGGCAACCCCCTGCTTCCCATAGCACCCACAGGGATGGAGGCAACCCCCTGCTCCCACAGCACCCACAGGGATGGAGGCAACCCCCTGCTCCCATAGCACCCACAGGGATGGAGGCAACCCCCTGCTCCCACAGCACCCACAGGGATGGAGGCAACCCCCTGCTCCCACCAGCACCCACAGGGATGGAGGCAACCCCCTGCTCCCACAGCACCCACAGGGATGGAGGCAACCCCCTGCTCCCACAGCACCCACAGGGATGGAGGCAACCCCCTGCTCCCACAGCACCCAGAGGGATGGAGGCAACCCCCTGCTTCCCATAGCACCCACAGGGATGGAGGCATCCCCCTGCTCCCATAGCACCCACAGGGATGGAGGCAACCCCCTGCTCCCACAGCACACACAGGGATGGAGGCAACCCCCTGCTCCCATAGCACCCACAGGGATGGAGGCAACCCCCTGCTCCCACAGCACACACAGGGATGGAGGCAACCCCCTGCTCCCATAGCACCCACAGGGATGGAGGCAACCCCCTGCTCCCACAGCACACACAGGGATGGAGGCATCCCCCTGCTCCCATAGCACCCACAGGGATGGAGGCAACCCCCTGCTCCCACAGCACACACAGGGATGGAGGCAACCCCCTGCTCCCATAGCACCCACAGGGATGGAGGCAACCCCCTGCTCCCACAGCACACACAGGGATGGAGGCAGCCCCCTGCTTCCCATAGCACCCACAGGGATGGAGGCAACCCCCTGCTCCCATAGCACCAGGGATGGAGGCAACCCCCTGCTCCCATAGCACCCACAGGGATGGAGGCAACCCCCTGCTCCCACAGCACCCAGAGGGATGGAGGCAACCCCCTGCTTCCCATAGCACCCACAGGGATGGAGGCATCCCCCTGCTCCCATAGCACCCACAGGGATGGAGGCAACCCCCTGCTTCCCATAGCACCCACAGGGATGGAGGCAACCCCCTGCTCCCATAGCACCCACAGGGATGGAGGCAACCCCCTGCTCCCATAGCACCCACAGGGATGGAGGCAACCCCCTGCTCCCACAGCACACACAGGGATGGAGGCAACCCCCTGCTCCCATAGCACCCACAGGGATGGAGGCAGCCCCCTGCTTCCCATAGCACCCACAGGGATGGAGGCAACCCCCTGCTCCCATAGCACCCACAGGGATGGAGGCAACCCCCTGCTCCCATAGCACCCACAGGGATGGAGGCAACCCCCTGCTCCCACAGCACCCACAGGGATGGAGGCAACCCCCTGCTCCCACAGGGATGGAGGCAACCCCCTGCTCCCATAGCACCCACAGGGATGGAGGCAACCCCCTGCTCCCACAGGGATGGAGGCAACCCCCTGCTTCCACAGGGATGGAGGCAGCCCCATGGGTCCTGCCCACCAGCAGCCTTTCCCCAGGAGATGGGTTTTGAGGGGTTCTGTCCAGCCCCTGAACTGGCAGCTGGGGACCCCAAAGTCCCTCAGGGAGGGCTGCATCCCCTGGCCTCCTGCACGGGCTGGGAAAGGGGGATGCAGGGAGGCAGAGCCGATGCTGGGGCCCTGTGGCAGCACCCAGCCCCACTCACCCACCCAGAGCCTCCACCATGCAGCCTTCCCGCGTGTACGCCTCGGCCGGGACCGTGCTCTGGAAGCAGTGCACCGAGAGCACCCCGTGTCCGCTGGCCCAGATCTCCAGGATGCGCCGCACCTTGGGACCGCCCTGTGGGACCACGGGCACCGTCACCACGGTCCCAACCCCCCTGCGGCCATCCCCGTGGCCTCAAACCCCAGCAGCGCATCCACCTTCTGCGTGCCAGCGTGGTGCTGGCCCAGCGCCTCGGTGAGGTGGCAGTAGGGCCGCGTGCGTGTCCCCTTGCCCACATAGAAGATGGCCTGGATGAAGGTCCTGAAGCACTCGGCGGGGCTCAGCTGGTGCGAGCGGAGGGGCAGGTTCTGGGTGGTCCTAGGGGTGCAAACCCCCAGCTTTGGGGCTCGACCCCTCTCAGGTTGGAGCCTCCAACAGTGGGGACGCGCGGGGCAGCGGCAGGGCCCTACCTGGGGTCGAGGAGGAGGTAGTTGAAGCTGGACTTGACCAGCCCTTCCCGCCAGTGCCGGCTCCGGTCGGGGCGGTCGAACTCCTGCCTCAGCACCAGCTCGTCCTGGGCGCAGTCAGGGATGAGGCCGCTCTGCAGCGCGGCTGCCAGCTCTGGGCTGTGCCCTGGAGCAGCCCCAATGGCACAGGGAGCACCATCAGCTCCAATGGCACAGGGAGCTCCGTCAGCCCCGGTGGCACTGAGAGCACCGTCACCCCCAATGGCACAGGGAGCACCGTCAGCCCCGGTGGCACTGAGAGCACCGTCACCCCAACGGCAACAGGAACATGAACAGCACCAGTGGCACCGGGAGCCCCAATGGCACCGGGAGCACCACCGGCCCCAGTGACATTGGGAGCCCCAATGGCACCACCAGCCCCAATAGCACCGGGAGCACCAACCAGCCCCTGTGGCATTGGGAGCCCCAATGGCACCGGGAGCACCACCAGCCCCAGTGGCATCAGGAGCACCACCGGCCCCAGTGGCACTGGGAGCCCCAATGGCACCACCAGCCCCAGTGGCATCAGGAGCACCACCAGCCCCAGTGGCACTGGGAGCCCCAATGGCACCACCAGCCCCAGTGGCACCAGGAGCCCCAATGGCACCACCAGCCCCAATGGCACCAGGAGCTCCACCAGCCCCAGTGGCACCAGGAGCACCACCAGCCCCAATGGCATTGGGAGCCCCAATGGCACCACCAGCCCCAATGGCACCAGTGGCACCAGGAGCACGGCAGCCCCACACCAGCCCGCAGGGAGCAGCCAGGCCATGGGGGACCCCAGCACTCACCCGCTGGGCTGCTCCGGGCTGTCCTCAGCAGCTCCTCCAGCCGCCGCAGGTAGAGCTGCCTGGTGAGCCCCGTGATGGGCCCTGGATCATCCCCCAGCGCCCGCAGCCGCCGGCGCAGGCCTTCATCCGAGAGGGGCCGCAGCGGGGCCGTGTCCTCGGGGCCAGGGCCGTGGCGCTCGGGGGGTGCCCGCTCCTGCTCCTCGCACTCGGGGTGCTCTTGGGTGCTGGGAGGCACAGGCAGGGCCCGCGGTGCCAGGAGGTGGCAGAAGCGCCTGTGGAGCCACTGGGGCTGTGGTGCCCCCAAGGGCGAAGGGTCCTGGCACCCAGAGCCACCTTCCAGCGCCCTGAGGGTGGCACAGGGGGAGCCCCGAGCATCTGATGGGGGGCACTGGGGGTACCCAGGGACCAGCAGCACCGTGGGGCTGGAGCCAGAGGAGCCCTGAGCGTCTGATGGGGGGCACTGGGGGTCCCCAGGGAGCAGCGGCACCGTGGGGCTGGAGCCAGGGGAGCCCTGAGCATCTGATGGAGGGCACTGGGGGTCCCCAGGGACCAGCAGCACTGTGGGGCTGGAGCCAGAGGAGCCCTGAGCATCTGATGGGGGGCACTGGGGGTCCGCAGGGACCAGTGCCACTGTGGGGCTGGAGCCAGGGGAGCCCTGAGCATCTGATGGGGGGCACTGGGGGTCCCCAGGGAGCAGCAGCACCGTGGGGCTGGAGCCAGAGGAGCCCTGAGCATCTGATGGGGGGCACTGGGGGTCCCCAGGGAGCAGCGGCACCGTGGGGCTGGAGCCAGGGGAGCTGCTGGGGGCTCCGGGGAGGAGCACAGTGTCACCCAAAGAGCCTGTCTCCTCTCTGTCCCCACTGCACACATCCGTGTCCTGCTGGGTGACGCAGCGCCCTGAGGCGGTAGCAGGATCCCTGGGGACAGCCCGGGGTGCTCTGACCCTGGGGGGCCTCCGTGGCATCTCCAGTGTGTCAGAGAGAACAGAGGAGGAGGAGGAGGCACCGAAGCGCTCTGCAGAGGCCAGGAGGCGGCTCCGTGTCCTGGGAGTGACATGCTGGTACATGGGGGGCTCCTGCGGGCCGGCATCCCCAGCGCTGAGCCTGGGAAGAGCCCCTGGGGTGGAAGGGGGGGATCCCTGGAGGCTGCACCCCTGGAGCTGGGTGAGGAGCTCCCCTACGTCACCCGTGTCCGAAGCATCCTCGCAGCAAGGGGGTGCCCTCGGGGCTCCCCTGAAACCTCCCCCCTCCGCCCGCTCTGGGGCTGGGGGGATGCTGGGGGGGGGCAGCTCCATGGCGCCAGCTCCACTTGGGCCTTCACCCAGCTCCAGCCCCGTGGAGGAGCAGCAGCAGCGAGGCCCCAGGGTCTCCAGGGCACTAACAAAGCACTCGCTGTCACTGCTGCTGTCCCCAGAGCTGCCACCGGGCCCGGGAGCCTCAGGGGCTGCCCCGTGTGTCCGCAGGACCCTGCTGCAGCGCTGGGGCTGGCGCGGGGACCCACCAGGACCAAACACCCGCGGGGGACAGGGACTGGGGGGAACCCGAGTGCGGAGCTGTGGGAGAACCTGGGGGGGAGCCCCCGAGCCTCCCACCACGGCCCTGCTCCAGGGTCCCTCCCTGAGCTCATCCCCATCTGAGAGCAGCGTGCTGGAGGCGAGGGGATGCGGGAGCACAGCTGAGCCCCCGGGGTCCCCCTGGGGCCATGGGGCAAAGGAGGGGATGGAGAGGGATGGGAGGGGCCCCCTCAAACCACTGCAGCCCCCTGGCTCCTGCAGCAGGGACCCGGCCTCGGGGAGCGCAGCGCAGATGCTGCCGTCGGTGGCATCCTCAGTCAGGAAGGACAGGGAGCGCCGCGGGTCCCCTGGCTCTGGGAACAGAGATGGGGCTCAGGGTCCACCTCAGACTTGGGGGGGGGGGACCTGGATGGGCTCCCCAGCACCAGCCAAGGGGCGCCCCGGGACCCTCACCCTCTGCAGGAGGCCACCCCCAGGCGCGCTGTGAGCCCCGGCCCTGCAGGAGCCACGCTCCGTGTCCCCGCTGCGGGTCCATGCCTCGTTTCCCATCCTGCAGGGGGGGACACGGCCGTCACCAGCACCGCTGCCAGGGCCACCAAAGGGCTCCATGGCGGCAGCGGGGCCAGGGGGGCTCCCCCCATGGTGACAAACAGGGTCCCAGCACAAGCAGCAGCTCCAAGATGCAGGCGCAGCCCGAGCCCCTGACTCCTGGGAACCCCGAGTTACCCCCGGCCCAGCTCAGGGTCAGGGGCTCAGCCGCACCTCATCACCCCCCATGCTCCCTAGGGGGCCCTGCAGCGTGCGGACACCCCTGTGCCACCCCCCCCGCTCCCTGCACCCTCCGAGTGCCGGCACCGGGGAGGACCCCCCCATACCCCGGGTCAGTGCATGCAGGGGCTCCCCATCACATGCAACGTGACCCCTCCCGATGCAACGGCGAAACCGCGGAGAGTGCGCACACCTCACACCCCCCCGTCCCGGTCCCGGTCCCGGTCCCGGTCCCTGTCCCTGTCCAGTCCCATCCCGCTCACCCCCGTTCCCATTCCCGGTCCCGGTCCCAGTCCCAATCCCGGTCCCGATCCCAGTCCCTGTCCAGTCCCATCTCGCTCACCCCCATTCCCATTCCCAATCCCAGTCCCTGTCCAGTCCCATCCCGCTCACCCCCGTTCCCATTCCCAGTCCCAATCACTGTCCCGATCCTAGTCCCTGTGCCAGTCCCATCCCGCTCACCCCCGTTCCCATTCCCATTCCCGGTCCCAGTTCCAGTCCCAATCCCGGTCCCTGTCCAGTCCCATCCCGCTCACCCCCATTCCCAGTCCCAATCCCGGTCCCGATCCCAGTCCCTGTGCCAGTCCCATCCCGCTCACCCCCGTTCCCATTCCCAGTCCCAGTCCCAATCCCGGTCCCGATCCCGGTCCCGGTCCTTGTCCAGTCCCATCCTGCTCACCCCCATTCCCATTCCCGGTTCCATTCCCATTCCCAATCCCGGTCCCATTCCCATTCCCAATCCCGGTCCCATTCCCAATCCCAATCCCGGTTCCAGTCCCGATCCCAGTCCCTGCCCAGTCCCATCCCGCTCACCCCCAGTCCCGGTCCTCCTGCGGCTCGCGCAGTCCCACACCGCTCGCTCCGCGCACGCGCAGCGAACCCCACCCGTTCGAACGTCCCGCGCTGGCGCTCCGCCCTCTCATTGGCTGGCGAGCGCAGTGGAAGGCGGGGAGGGGCGGGCCTAGAGCTCCCAGTGTTCCCAGTGACCGCACCAGTGCCCCAGTGTCCTGCACCAGCTCCACCCGGAAACTGCACCAACGCTCCCAGTGCCCTGCACTGGCACCGCCCAGCGAGTCCAACAGCCACACCATCACTGCCCAGCATCCCCCAGTAACCGCACTGCCCTTCGGGGTCCCCACACAAGCACCACCAGCCACAACCCCCCCAAATCCCCACAACCAGGGGTGACATCAACCTCCTGTCCCCCAGTTCCCAACCCGGCGCAGGAGCCACAGCATCAGCACAACACGGGTCAGGAATAACCCCTTCTCTTTCCCCCAGCACCATTCCCGTGCCGGTATTCCCCCAGTTCCCCCCAGTTTAGACAGTGGCCTCGATCTCTGGGGGCTCATCCTCCTCCAGCAGCCCGTAGGCTGCGTGTGTCTGGAACGGGCGCTGCAGCGGATGCGCCAGCAGCTTGGCCATGCAGTTGTGCAGCTCCACGGCGGGCCCCGACAGCAACACTTCGTACTTGTAGTTGGTGCCTTTGGTGTCCAGGCTGCTGAAGAAGCTGTACATCTCCTGGGGAGGGGACGCAGAGGGGGTGAGATGTCCCCTGCCATGGGGGAGAGGATGCCCCGGCCCGCATTCACCTTCCAGCTCGTCTCATCATCCTTCTCCTCCACCCCATTGTGGATGTAGACGATGTCAAAGAAGAAGTAGGGACACTGCAGCATCTTCTGCAGGGTGAGAAGCCGGGAATGGCTCTTCCACACACTGGGATGGAGCCAGAGCTGCCAAGCTCACCCAGAGTGGGAACAAGGTGAGGATCTACCTTCATGTGCTCTGACATGGAGAACTGGGGCTGGCAGCCTGGGCGCCCAAACACCAGGATGGTCCGGACCACGTAAGGCGGAGGGATGGTCTGAACGTTCTCCGTCACCGGCAGCTCAATCTTCTGCTGGCTGCAGCAGGAGGATGGAGGCGGCTCAGAGATCCCTGTGCCAACACCTGAGGGCCCATTCCTGCCTCCTTACAACAACACCCCAACAGCTCCAGGTGTGCTGGGGAAGCAGCACCGCCCCCAGGAGCTCTCTGGGGTGATGTTCTGATAGCCAAGCAGAACACTGTGTACTCACATCAGGTTGAAGAGTCCTTCCAGATCTGCAGCCCCAGGTAAGGACAGATCCCGGCACCCAGACCCCTGCCCACCCCAGGGACCTCCTGCACCCTCTATGGCGGGAGGCGATGGCACCGGGCACCCCAGACGGACCAGGGTGGGGAGATAACACCAATGAGTGAGTGTTTGGTGGGTCTGGAGGCTCCGGTGCTAAACTGGGACTTGGTTTGACGCTTCAGCTTCACATAGTCATTCTGCAGCCAGGCTGCCAGTGAGCTGCTGCCACCTGCAGGCAACGGGCTTGAAGGATCCCCCTTACTCTCAAGTGACCCTATTTTGCAACCAAGAACCCCCTTTGCACCCTTGCAGGGTCCTGGCCCCTCCCCGTCCCAGCCCCATAGGTGGAGGGATACTGAAGGACTTGCAGACGACAGTCTCCAGGTCATAGAGGCAGCTGCAGACCTCGCGGGGGTCCGAGGTGAACCCTGAGAGCTGAGAGGAACTGGGGTGAGGGGGTGAGGAGCCATCCCCGTCCCCATCCCATCCCATCCCGTCCCCACTCACCCAGGTGGCATCGTTGTTCACCACCACCAGCGCGAACTCGTGGCACTTGTCGATCTTGTGCTTCGTCCTCACGAACATCTCGATCATCTTCTGCGAGATGTTCAGCGCGTTCGTCTTGGACCTGCCGCCGGGGCCGGAGCTCAGCAGGGACCCCCCGGTCCCCACGCCAGGATGGGGGGGTCCCTTTACCAGCACAACCCCCAGCACTCACCCGTTAAAGGACTCCAGCTTGGGCAGCGCCATCTCCTCCGCCAGGTCCAAGCAGATGATCTACGTGGGACAGCACCGCGGCTGAGCCCCCGCTCCCGCCGCCCCTCACCGCGGCAGCAGGGCTGCTCCGGCCGCACTGGGCGCACTCACCACCTTCTCGGGGCAGTTCACACGCGGGGTCTTGACCTGCACCTCGGTGTGCGGGCCGGGCCCGGCCCAGGCGGGGCCGTGGGGCGCGGTGGCCGTGCCCTGGGGGCTGCCGTCGGCGCTCGCCGCCTCCCCCTCACCCTCGCTGCGGTTCCCGACGCTGGTCTGGGCGCTCAGCGCTCGGTCCTCGGCACCCTCCGGGTTCGAGCGGGTTCGGGGCCGCGGCTCCGGCGCCTTCTCCTCCTCCTCCTCAGCGGCGCTGCCCGGCTCCGCCGTGTCCATCCCGCAGCCGCGCTCCATCGGGGAGCGATGCCGGTGCCTGAGGGGGGGGATATCGGTGCCGATGGGGACCCCCAGACCCCGGCTTTGGGCACCCCCTGCCGCAGGCCCTCCCGCGCTCCCTGAACCCTTCAATGCACCCCCTATGCACCCCCTTTCCCACGCACACCCCCCCCCCGTCCATCCCGGCCCACGCAACCCCCACCCGCCCCCCGCTGCACCCCCCGGCCCGCGCGCACCCGAGCTCGGCCTCACGACCCCGCCCGGCACCGACCGGAAGCGGATTCGCGCGGGGGTTGATGGGAACTGTAGTCCCGAGGGAGGTGTCCCCGTCGGGCACCGCAGACACCCGCGTACCCCAAATACCCGCGTACCCCCCTGCACCCAAATACCCACGTACCCCCCTGCACCCAAATACCCACGTACCCCCCTGCACCCCAAATACACACGTACCCCCCTGCACCCAAATACCCGCGTACCCCCCTGCACCCAAATACCCACGTACCCCCCTGCACCCAAATACCCACGTACCCCCTGCACCCCAAATACCCACGTACCCCCCTGCACCCAAATACCCGCGTACCCCCCTGCACCCCAAATACCCGCGTACCCCCCTGCACCCAAATACCCACGTACCCCCTGCACCCAAATACCCACGTACCCCCCTGCACCCAAATACCCGCGTACCCCCCTGCACCCAAGTACCCGCGTACCCCCTGCACCCCAAATACCCGCGTACCCCCTGCACCCCAAATACCCGCGTACCCCCTGCACCCAAATACCCGCGTACCCCCTGCACCCCAGATACTCACGTACCCCCTGCACCCAAATACCCGCGTACCCCCTGCACCCAACTACCCGCGTTCCCCCCTGCACCCCAAATACCCGCGTACCCCCTGCACCCCAGATACTCACGTACCCCCCTGCACCCAAATACCCGCGTACACCCCTGCACCCAAGTACCCGCGTACCCCCTGCACCCCAAATACCCACGTACCCCCCTGCACCCCAAATACCCGAGTACCCCCTGCACCCAAATACCCGCGTACCCCCTGCACCCCAAATACCCACGTACCCCCCTGCACCGCAAATACCCACGTACCCCCCTGCACCCAAATACCCGCGTACCCCCTGCACCCAAAGTACCCGCGTACCCCCTGCACCCCAAATACCCACGTAACCCCCTGCACCCCAAATACCCGCGTACCCCCTGCACCCAAATACCCGCGTACCCCCTGCACCCAAGTACCCGCGTACCCCCCTGCACCCAAATACCCACGTACCCCCCTGCACCCAAGTACCCGCGTACCCCCCTGCACCCAAATACCCACGTACCCCCTGCACCCAAATACCCGCGTACCCCCCTGCACCCAAGTACCCGCGTACCCCCTGCACCCCAAATACCCGCGTACCCCCCTGCACCCAAATACCCGCGTACCCCCTGCACCCAAGTACCCGCGTACCCCCTGCACCCCAAATACCCCCGTACCCCCTGCACCCCAAATACCCACGTACCCCCCTGCACCCAAATACCCGCGTACCCCCTGCACCCAAGTACCCGCGTACCCCCCTGCACCCCAAATACCCACGTACCCCC